TTGTAACCACTAAAAAGTGTGAAAATATGCTTAGTCCAATGGTACGGACTGCTGACTCTAAATCTGGAGGTTGTGGGTTCAAATCCAGGGTGGGAATTTTACATTTTAAAAATGTTATTTCTTTTTGGGTAAATTCAACTTTTATAGTCAAATTCGTAACCACTAAAAAGTGTGAAATTATGCTTAGTCCAATGGTATGGACTGCTGACTCTCAATCTGAAGGTTGTGGGTTCAAATCCAGGGTGGGAATTCAACATTTTAAAAATGTTATTTCTTTTTGGGTAAATTGATTTTTTATAGTCAATTTCGTTACCACTAAAAAGTGTGAAAATATGCTTAGTCCAATGGTACGATCCTGCTGACTCTAAATCTGGAGGTTGTGGGTTCAAATCCAGGGTGCGAATTTTAGTTTTAAAATTTTATTTCTTTTTGGGTAAATTGAAACTTTATAGTTTATTTTGTAACCTCTAAAAAGTGTGAAAATATGCTTAGTCCAATGGTACGGACTGCTGACTCTAAATCTGGAGGTTGTGGGTTCAAATCCAGGGTGGGAATTTTACATTTTAAAAATGTTATTTCTTTTTGGGTAAATTCAACTTTTATAGTCAAATTCGTAACCACTAAAAAGTGTGAAATTATGCTGAGTCTAATGGTACGGACTGCTGACTCTCAATCTTGAGGTTGCCGGTTCAAATCCAGGGTGGGAATTTTACATTTTAAAATTTTATTTCTTTTTATTTTTTATAGTCAATTTCGTTACCACTAAAAATTGTGAAAAGATGCTTAGTCCAATGGTACTGACTGCAGACTCTCAATCTGAAGGTTGCGGGTTCAAATCCAGGGTGGGAATTTTACATTTTAAAATTTTATTTATTTTTGGGTAAATTGAAACTTTATAGTCAATTTCGTAACCACTAAAAATTGTGAAAAGATGCTTAGTCCAATGGTACGGACTGCTGACTCTAAATCTGGAGGTTGCAGGTTCAAATCCAGGGTGGGAATTTTACATTTTAAAAATGTTATTTCTTTTTGGGTAAATTCAACTTTTATAGTCAATTTCGTAACCACTAAAAAGTGTGAAATTATGCTTAGTCCAATGGTACGGACTACTGACTCTAAATCTGGAGGTTGCGGGTTCAAATCCAGGGTGGGAATTTTACATTTTGAAATTTTATTTCTTTTTGGGTAAATTGAAACTTTATAGTTAATTTCGTAACCACAAAAAGTGTGAAATTAGGCTTAGTGCAGTGGTTTAGACTGCTGACTCTCAATCTGAAGGTTGTGGGTTCAAATCCAGGGTGTGAATTTTACATTTTAAAATTTTATTTATTTTTGGGTAAATTGATTTTTTATAGTCAATTTCGTAACCACTAAAAATTGTGAAAAGATGCTTTGTCGAATGGTCCGGACTGTTGACTCTAAATCTAGAGGTTGCCGGTTCAAATCCAGGGTGGGAATTTTATATTTTAAAATTTTATTTATTTTTGGGTAAATTGATTTTTTATAGTCGATTTCGTAACCACTAAAAGTTGTGAAAAGATGCTAAGTCCAATGGTACGGACTGCGGACTCTCAATCTGAAGGTTGTGGGTTCAAATCCAGGGTGGGAATTTTACATTTTAAAATTTTATTTATTTGGGTAAATTGATTTTTTATAGTCAAATTCGTAACCACTAAAAATTCTGAAAAGATGCTTAGTCCAATGGTACGGACTGCTGACTCTCAATCTGAAGCTTGTGGGTTCAAATCCAGGTTGGGAATTCAACATTTTAAAAATGTTATTTCTTTTTGGGTAAATTGATTTTTTATAGTCAATTTCGTTACCACTAAAAAGTGTGAAATTATGCTTAGTCCAATGGTACGGACTGCTGACTCTCAATCTGGAGGTTGCCGGTTCAAATCCAGGGTGGGAATTTTACATTTTAAAATTTGATTTCTTTTGGGGTAAATTGAAACTTTATAGTTAATTTCGTAACCTCTAAAAAGTGTGAAAATATGCTTAGTCCAATGGTATGGACTGTTGACTCTAAATCTGGAGGTTGCGGGTTCAAATCCAGAGTGGAAATTTTGCATTTGAAAATTTTAATTATTTTTGGGTAAATTGATTTTTTATAGTCAATTTCGTAACCACTAAAAAGTGTGAAAAGATGCTTAGTCCAATGGTACGGACTGCAGACTCTCAATCTGAAGGTTGCGGGTTCAAATCCAGAGTGGGAATTTTACATTTTAAAATTTTATTTATTTTTGGGTAAATTGAAACTTTATAGTCAATTTCGTAACCACTAAAAATTGTGAAAAGATGCTTAGTCCAATGGTACGGACTGCTGACTCTAAATCTGGAGGTTGCAGGTTCAAATCCTGGTTGGGAATTTTACATTTTAAAATTTTATTTCTATTTGGGTAAATTCATTTTTTATAGTCAATTTCGTAACCACTAAAAATTGTGAAAAGATGCTTAGTCCAATGGTACGGACTGCTGACTCTCAATCTGAAGGTTGCGGGTTCAAATCCAGGGTGGGAATTTTACATTTTAAAATTTTATTTATTTTTGGGTAAATTCAACTTTTATAGTCAATTTCGTAACCTCTAAAAAGTGTGAAATTATGCTTAGTCCAATGGTACGGACTACTGACTCTCAATCTGAAGGTTGCGGGTTCAAATCCAGGGTGGGAATTTTAAATTGTAAAATTTTGTTTCTTTTGGGGTAAATTGAAACTTTATAGTTAATTTCGTAACCACTAAAAAGTGTGAAAAGATGCTTAGTCCAATGGTACGGACTGCTGACTCTAAATCTGGAGGTTGCCGGTTCAAATCCAGGGTGGGAATTTTACATTTTAAAAATGTTATTTCTTTTTGGGTAAATTCAACTTTTATAGTCAAATTCGTAACCACTAAAAAGTGTGAAATTATGCTTAGTCCAATGGTACGGACTGCTGACTCTAAATCTGGAGGTTGCAGGTTCAAATCCTGGTTGGGAATTTTACATTTTAAAATTTTATTTCTATTTGGGTAAATTCATTTTTTATAGTCAATTTCGTAACCACTAAAAATTGTGAAAAGATGCTTAGTCCAATGGTACGGACTGCTGACTCTCAATCTGGAGGTTGCCGGTTCAAATCCAGGGTGGGAATTTTACATTTTAAAATTTTATTTCTTTTTGGGTAAATTGAAACTTTATAGTTAATTTTGTAACCTCTCAAAAGTGTGAAAATATGCTTAGTCCAATGGTACGGACTGTTGATTCTAAATCTGGATGTTGCGGGTTCAAATCCAGGGTGGGAATTTTACATTTTAAAATTTTATTTATTTTTGGGTAAATTGATTTTTTATAGTCAATTCCGTAACCACTAAAAATTGTGAAAAGATGCTTAGTCCAATGGTACGGACTGCTGACTCTAAATCTGGAGGTTGCGGGTTCAAATCCAGGGTGGGAATTTTGCATTTTAAAATTTTAATTATTTTTGGGTAAATTCAACTTTTATAGTCAATTTCGTAACCTCTAAAAAGTGTGAAATTATGCTTAGTCCAATGGTACGGACTACTGACTCTCAATCTGAAGGTTGCGGGTTCAAATCCAGGGTGGGAATTTTAAATTGTAAAATTTTGTTTCTTTTGGGGTAAATTGAAACTTTATAGTTAATTTCGTAACCACTAAAAAGTGTGAAAAGATGCTTAGTCCAATGGTACGGACTGCTGACTCTAAATCTGGAGGTTGCCGGTTCAAATCCAGGGTGGGAATTTTACATTTTAAAAATGTTATTTCTTTTTGGGTAAATTCAACTTTTATAGTCAAATTCGTAACCACTAAAAAGTGTGAAATTATGCTTAGTCCAATGGTACGGACTGCTGACTCTCAATCTGGAGGTTGCCGGTTCAAATCCAGGGTGGGAATTTTACATTTTAAAATTTTATTTCTTTTTGGGTAAATTGAAACTTTATAGTTAATTTTGTAACCTCTCAAAAGTGTGAAAATATGCTTAGTCCAATGGTACGGACTGTTGATTCTAAATCTGGATGTTGCGGGTTCAAATCCAGGGTGGGAATTTTACATTTTAAAATTTTATTTATTTTTGGGTAAATTGATTTTTTATAGTCAATTCCGTAACCACTAAAAATTGTGAAAAGATGCTTAGTCCAATGGTACGGACTGCTGACTCTAAATCTGGAGGTTGCGGGTTCAAATCCAGGGTGGGAATTTTGCATTTTAAAATTTTAATTATTTTTGGGTAAATTGATTTTGATAGTCAATTTCGTAACCACTAAAAATTGTGAAAAGATGCTTAGTCCAATGGTACGGACTGCGGACTCTCAATCTGAAGGTTGCGGGTTCAAATCCAGAGTGGGAATTTTACATTTTAAAATTGTATTTATTTTTGGGTAAATTGATTTTTGATAGTCAATTTCGTAACCACTAAAAATTGTGAAAATATGCTTAGTCCAATGGTACGGACTGCTGACTCTAAATCTGGAGGTTGCGGGTTCAAATCCAGGGTGGGAATTTTACATTTTAAAATTTTATTTCTTTTTGGGTAAACTGAAACTTTATACATGTCGTTAATTCCGTAACCACTAAAAAGCATGAAATTATGCTTAGTGCAGTGGTTCAGACTGTTGTCTCTAAATCTAAAGGTTGCAGGTTCATTCCCACTCTGGGAATTTTAGATTTCAAAATTGTATTACTGATTAGGTCAATTGAAACTTTACAGTTAATTTTGTAACCACAAAATAGTGTGAAGTTGTGCTTAATAAAGTAATACGGACTTCTGAAGGTTGCTGGTTCAATTCCCACAGTTGGAGTTTTAGATTTTAAAATTTAATTAATTTTGAGGTCAATTGAAACTTTATATTTTTTTCAAGTTTGAAACCAGTCCACACTTCTAGTCTAGCAAAAGCCAAAAAGTAAAAAAGCAAATACTTTTAGCTTGAAGCAAATAGTGAAAGCATTTGCTCTCATTTTTATTCACGCAAATAAAAGTTATGCTTAAAAATACGTTGTAAAAAAAAAAGGAAATGCTAGTTTTTATACATACGGTCGAATGTTTCAATGTAAAAAAAAATTGCATCGTTTATGTTTCAGTAATACATGTAGATATAAAGTGTTTGAGGACCTATGTGGATCTGTTCGGGCCTACAACGACACCCATTCACTGAGCGGATTCGGGATTACCCATCGAGAACTCGAAAAGATAGGAGAGACCAAGGCCAGTTGCTTTGGTAAAATTTTTCATTCAGGTAAGACAAACTTCCATGAAGACTCAACTCATTAGTTCAAGTCCCCCCCCCCCCAACTAAGCCCTAAGACAACACTGAGCGTACACTGTTTACAAAATATGTCAGGTTTTATTTAGTTAAGTGGCTTTCAGGCTGTTAGTTCTCCCACATTTTAATGGTGGTCTCTCATTTGACATGTCGTCTTCAAACGTTCTTTTGTCGAAGCCGTCGGGGCAGAATATTTTTGGCGTGCTGTTGGAAAGATCAATTTCAAACTTTTGTTCTTGTGAAAATCCTGTTGCATGACATCACAGCCTGTATTGTGACGTGGATGAGTTCTACCTGATTGATAAACGTGACCTGACAGAGAGGTGGCATGTTTTGGTGACAGTCCCTCGCTTGTCAGTTGGTATGGAATGTCATTTGGTGACAACTGAATGTCCTTATCCAAAGGCAAGACGTCGTTTCCCACGGTATGTCTGGGGTTATCGACAATGTTGCCGAGCGGCTCCGAATCCTCCTCCAACGTTATCGTCATGACGACTGTCTTCTCCATGTTCCCAAGGGTGCCCTCCGAGGACGACATCATGGCCATGTGTGAAATGTCCTGTGATTGGTCGGTCAGGTCTGGTACCAAGACTGTAGTTTCAGCTGCAGATTCCTCGGGGGCTGATTTGGATAATGCGCAGGCCTGAGCGTACAGCCGCAGCTGTGCTAGATGGTGGTGCAGCAGCTGGGTGTGCTCCTCAGACATGTGTTGCAGTAACTCTTGCAAAATGGACTGGTTCTCACTGTTGTTGGTCAGACGTTTCAAACTGGACGTGTGCATCATGGACAGCTGCTGCTTGAGTGACGTGTTTGTGTTGGACAAATACTCAACCTGGAGGGCAAGAAGGATGGGCAGAGAAATTATTTGTTAACAGATGGAATTTTAATAGACCAATCCATTAGGCTCTGCCCCATGATGTGTAACCAATCACAACCATGACAGCGCACACCAAAGTCCGACATTTATGCACTTACTTTATGATGTGTGCAGTTGGAGCATGAATGCTTAAGAAGGCACATGTGTTGTTGCCCAGTTATTTAGTGCAACTAGAGTATGAGTGCAACCACGGATCTTCTACACAAGGATAAACGACACATCTGAGCTTGTGTACATAATGTGTGGAACGGTTTGTCTGCATATATGATATGCAGCATCAGAGCATAGGACAACGTACCGTAATTTCCTGCGGATAAGGCGCGCGGCGGATAAGGCGCAGGTCCCTAAAATCACCCCAAAAAAATTCAAACGCCAACAGATAAGGCGCACCGCCGCATAAGACGTATGTTTGACCGCACACAGAAGAACACCAGGCGTCACCCGGTGTCGGTACATCGCCACAAAGGGGCCATTGTGTTGCCTTAGAACGATCACACTATTCGGAGGATGAATTAAACCGTAACCACATTGGCTGGTCACATGTAGAGCCATGAAGCACTTTTCCCGAGACGATAAGTCCAGTGCGGACAGTGCGAGTCGGTAAAAGCAGCTCAGGAAAGCGTACATCCGGCCCGAGCGCCCTGTTATGCATACAGAGACCGCACGAACCTGCACGTGCAGTGGCCGAACATTTTGTAGAAACACGCTGCGGTGTATCATCAAGTCCGAGCGGTAAAATCTCGTTAAAATATATATTTCAACGGACAAATACATACACAAAGAAGAGAGATCACGTTCTGAGAATTAATTTGCGGAAATTCTCTTTCTCCACCGATGTATGTTATTTTCTACGATCCAAATTCGTCCTGATACGCTACTGTAGTCATGCACGGAACATCATGGTCTGGTACCGTACGTAGGCCGTAGTCACTGGTTCCTGGCCCACATCATAGCTTCGATTCTGTAAGCATGCGATGGGAACCAACGAATACTGATGGCACTGCTGCCGCACGGAACATCGTACAGCGGCATGGCTTCGACGACGTGCATCACAAATGCGTCAGAATTATCGGCCTTTTCGTCAAGATTTAGCGTGTCAAGATGAAATAATATCGTGTAAACGATTATGTTGTGCATGCAAATGGCGTGTGTAATATAACTGTGCGTATCGGCGGCTGAAAATGTGATCGGCAATTTGTTTTCTGTGTACGGTGAGTCATTATACCGACACTGTGACAGCTCGGTTACTTCTCCCACGCGGCCTGGGTAAATTTTCCCGTGTCGAAAGTCCAAGTGCGGACAGTGGTCACATTTGACCATTTCTCATTTTACTATCGTCTCGGTAAAACCTTCCAAAAAAAAAGTCCAGTGCGGACACGGCTAAAGTCTAAAGCAGACTTCGAAGATATCCTGTACAATAAACACCCTCAACGTTCACACAATAGAACTTGAGTGAATGCGATTTCCAAACGTTTAAGTAATTCTGATTGCAGCATTTTCGGAATGAAAAAAACGGCCACAAAGAAAAAACGTTTGTATGACGGCATTGTTGGAACGAAAGCACGATCACTAAGGGGGATCAACGCATTGCGGCATTGTTGGAATGAAAGCACGATCATGGGGGATCAACACATCGCGGCATTGTTGGAATGAAAATACGGTCACAATGTCTGGAGAGTTGAGCCTTGGTTGACCGCATTATTGATTGCGGCATTGAAAGAATTCTTCACACAAAGACCGTCACTTTGAACTCAAGCGACACCAGATAAGGCGCACCTGTAGATAAGGCGCAGCGATGTTTTTGTGGTCTAGAAAGTCAGATAAGACGCGTCTTATCCGCAGGAAATTACGGTAGAACGTGTAGAAAATGTGGAACAATGACAACAACAGTGCACACCATGATCGCCCACAGCCATGACAGCTGGCATCCTGACAGAAATCCGACCACTGAAAGAACGCAGTCGCATTAGTGTGCCTGCATTAGTTCTGATCAAGGTATGTCCCCCCTCCCACTTTTGAGAAGCGATTGACGCCTTTGATACCTGTTGCATTCAGGGAACAAAATCCAAACTCATTCTTAGACCAAGACCAGATGGAATGCCCGCTGACCTTTGTACAAAGCCTTTCTATATTGCCTTTCATCCTGTGCTCTGTCTGGGCCCACGTGGTCCGCTCCTCCTCAAGAGTCTTCTCCAGACGTTCCTTCTCCTGCAGCAGCAGCGACAAGTTGTGCTCTGTGTAGCAAGTCTCGTCCTCCAAATCCCCTTTGCTTCCTTCGTCTGGTATCTCAATAAGGACAACTGTTTACGAGAGGACAGAATGGTCGAGGGAAAGGTTGAGTAATTATCCTGGATACTAATTCCTGTATTATAGAAAGTCCCTCAGGCCACTCCGGGTGAGGGCTACACAGAGGGGAACGACAGGAGTTTATAGAGTAGAAATGTCGACATGTATGTTGCGCTTCAATGGGACAGATAATCTGTAGCCTTAAAAACAGGATACAGGCAAGGAAGTCCCAAGAGATGCTGTGCGTGTCAAGAACACATAATTTCATGTAACTGGGTGTAAGCAATCACTCATTTTTCAAACCTTATTCCTAACATTAGGTGGGCAAGGTGAAGGACAAATTCCAATATTTAATTAACTGTTGAAGTATGCTTTCAAAATGTATTGCCACCCTGACTTATTATATTTTTTTTGTTTAGAACCTTCTCGAATCTTCCAAAATTCAATCAACTTAAATAACACCAATGGCACACCCTTTACACCTTGTAATTTCAATTTGTAAAATCCACTGTCAATATTGGCCCTCACCCGCCCCAACCCCTTAAAAAAATGCTGAAATTTTGGTTGTTTTGTTTATTTCAATGACCCAACAAGTGCAGGAGTGAAGACAACTGTTTTAAACATGCTGTTGTCTACCCATTCCCTTCTTCCATATGGATTCACGATGTATCAATTGAAAACAAAGTGGAGGGGGTGTTGGGTGGGGGTTGGGGGAAGAGTTCTTCCTTGCATCAAATGCCTCCTTCTTGGCTTTTAGTAAGCTTTTTCTAATTATCCTTCACTGCTGGTGGCATTATCCTCCCTAACCTCTGGGTAGATGCTGCAGGATTCTTGGAGGGTCAGGGTTAATATTCTTACCATCTTACCTTCCCCATTGGCAGTGCTCTGGCTCGGATCATTGATGCAGGCGTACTGGTACTCGATCTGCGGCTGCTGCCCGTCAGTCTGCTCATAGCTCGGGGATGATGTGTTCGTCTCCGATGGCTGCTGTGACTGGGGGACTATGAGGTGTGTTACCAGGCTGGCACTGTTGGGTGCTGGGTCGGTGTATGTGGTGAAGATCTGGTTGACATCCTGGGTAAAAATGGTGGAGTGAAGTCGTTAAGGTTGATAAAATGAGACTAAAACCTGCAGGGTTGCAAAAGATTCAATTTATGACACAAACGTACAGTGATAAAATTAGGTTCACAATTAATTATTTTAAAAGGCGCAAAGTGTTGGCATTTGATATAATCCACCCAAATCCTTGTAGAACTACCATACCTGCTCACAAGGTACATAAATTTCAACTGATTAAATTTATTTCATGGGTTTTTTTTTTCCATGCAGATTCAAGGGGACCATTACATTACAGGAACGGCATACTCAGTTGTCTTGAACCAGCACTGAAACTGTGAAGGCTAAAAATAAGTGCATTTTCAAACATTTTAAGCCAAAAAGGTGTGTCTAATCATTCTCAAAAGAATGGATACTCGAGTCAAATGTTTGATTGCGAAATTTATTTCCGAGAGTCTTTTGACCCTAAATCCCTAGCATGATTTACTAGGAACCATATCCATCCTGGCAAATTCCAACACCATATGGGAAACTGCGCACACACATATTTCTGACTTTGATTCTGGAGGTGTGCCAACCCAATGTAAAAGACTGTCAGTTTAGGGGTACTGTACCCATCCTGACAGATTCCAACAAAACATGTCGTTGGGGTTTGATGGGTTGAGTTCTGTTATGGTTAAAGCTATTAATAAGTCCAATGAGTTTAGGAATTCAAGCATCAGGAATTTACAACATTGTCTGAGTGAACCAGGGTAGTTTAACCACATGTGCAAACATTGATCAGCTTCATCAGCTGTCTCTAGCCATTGGATGGCCAACTGGAGTTTGTGTGCCGTGAAGTCGCCTGAAAGGTTGGGATCACACCCCTGCGCATGGCACAGCTCCTTGACTCTTGCTGATGTGATTCTAGTAAAGTTCTTGTTCGCGTTGGGGAAGCGACCGTTGCTCAACAGCTGATACACGATGGAATTTGCAGTAATTGGACATTGTGTTGGGGTTGTGGACCTACCCGTGAGCTTGTTGATGGTTTGCCATGCCCGACAGATGGAATGGGTCAAATCCATCGATTCCACAGTCTCTGTCCATCTCTGCCTTCATTTCTCATAGAGCCTACCGAAAAGATCATTGGCTGCTTTATCCCTGTCTTCGTTGGTCGTTGCTTCTTCATGCAAGCAGGGGACGTAGGCCGTGAATGATGCCGTGGACGATGCAGGATCTGCAACACCGCAATATTTTAAGACCTGGGGAGGGATACAGTAGAAGATTGGTTTGACAATTATGACAACAGCTGACAGCCATATGCACTTTGACAAAACATGAACTATGGATCTGTTTATATGGTTCTCTTGCTGTAACAGGCACAAGTAAGCTATTGACCTGAGTTAGGACTCTTGTTCAGGCAAGGATGCAAAGCTTTTCCCAAGACATTGTCGGCGTTTGGGCATGGCATGTGACAATTGAGTTTATCGAACATTGATATCTGCTAAGAATAACCAGCCCAGGTATCTGTCAATTTCATAAAACTCCCACAAATGCCACTACCTTGTCCTGCTGTCCACTACCTTCAACTTATCTTAATTCAACTCACAAACCTTTTCACAAACACAGACAAGTCATCTTGTAGTATGACTCATGAAGAGAAAGTGAAAACATTGTCCTTAACCTAAAACTTTTTTCTTGGGATCCAGTCACAAGTATGCGAGAGCTTGGTCTTGTTCCCAAATGCAAACTCACCCCCAAAGTTGATGCCTTTATTCACGTGCTTGACCCTGTAGTGCGCCTTGAGGAGAATCTCATCAGTGAAGAGACTGTCCTTGGAGCAGAATGGACAGTGCAGATGCGGAGCCTTCATCAAGGAGTGGCTACACTCCCTGTCTGTGCATTGTATGGGCGTCCAGTCTGCCTCAGCGCCTTTCATTCGCAGTGATGGATGCGCCTACAGTTGCAAAAAACAATGAGACAACCGTCAAGTTTACATGTGTGATGTAAAAAAAAAATGTAAATGTATGAAACGGCAACACCAATTAAATCTTCACAGACGTTTTCAAAGTGGAGAGGGGGAAACAAATTAGGCCATCATTTGTCATCCTGGCCATCACTTGTCATCCTGTGCACAATGAGACTGGTCTGAAAATTCCTAAGTGTTTTCTCAGTAAATACCCCAATAAATTCCCTGCTAAATTTGACATACTTTCGGATGGCTGATAGGTCGCTGAAGGAAAACATTAGTGATGGCCAGATATGGGAAGCTTTCCGAGAAAGTCCTACTAGCACTAGCCAAAGGGATAGCGAGCAGCAGCCATTCAACTAGCCCCATAAATATGGCCTATTTACTGGACTGCCTCCATAAACATAGGCCACACATCCACATGTACAAAAACGTGTCGATTTTGCCAAGTTTTGATTTTCACATTTAGGCTTACTTTGTACATTTTTTTTGCTTTAGAAGCATTCTCACCCTCTATATAGACTAATCAGAAAGTGCTGCCTTTTTCAGATGTCCATTTTTTGGTGAAATTTCCAGATACATTTGCACACGTTTGCATATCAAAATTTCAACATGAAATTTCACAAAAATTAGACATCTGAAAAAGGCAGCACTTTCTGATTAGCCTATATAGAGGGTGAGAATGCTTCTAAAGCAAAAAAAACCCTACAAAGTAAGCCTAAATGTGAAAATCAAAATTTGGCAAAATCGACACGTTTTTGTACATGTGGATGTGTGGCCTATGTTTACGGAGGCAGTCCAGTAAATAGGCCACATTTATGGGGCTACCATTCAACAGGTTCAATAATGTGAAGTGTCCGGAAACTGGGCGATTTCACATTTTGCTTTTTGTTTAAAAAAGTCTTACGACGAGGTGTCCAACTTAAAAATATGAATAATTTTCCAGAATATCTTGGGTACCTACCACATGAATAGCCATATTCAACAACTCCTTTGCCTTGAATAATCACATAAATACATTCTAATGGGGGAAAACATCAAGTGTTCAGCGTAAACAGCGCCCTCCAGAAAAAAAAATGTGGGTTTAAAGGGTTTTCCAAAATTGGATTCATTCCCAGTGCGGCTTGTTCTATTAAACCAATTTGAAGAAGAATAATCATGTAATTTCCACACAGCTACTCAGAAAGCGTGGGGTGTCAAATAAGAAAAGACAAACAGGTATTATTGGACTTCCGTTACGGGAGACGCAGGGATCTCGTTAAAAAAAAAGAAGGATGCCATTCAATGATGAAGCTGCGAATCTGCGACGAAGGCCGAGGTTTCGAAACAGCTTGCATGTGAGGGACACATGAGGGCAGCATTCAACAACATAAACACGCGACTCTTGACACATGCTTGAAAATCTGGCGCTACCCGTATTCTTCCGAGTGGCTGAAAACTTTCTTATTACGTCAGTATCAGTACTACAAGTTTGTTTTAATTAAAGGTAACATTAATTTGGTTGTTTTTAATAGCTATTGGTGAAATCTGCATTATTTTATTTAGTGAAAGTGAAACGTACTGCAGAAGTAGCCGTCATGGCCGCACTCCCGTCATGCCCGTAGACGCACTGTGCCAGTGCGTTTACACGCCATTGACAATAGCGTTGTAAGATTGTATCTAATTCGTTAGTCCGAGTAACTTGGACCCAACTTATCGCCTTTTAAAAAATTTGGACATGGTCTGGCGATAGTAGGGTCCAAGCCCATTCCTCGACCTAGACAACACAGTCACTGACAGTCCCAAAAACCAACATTTTCCAACAAAAAACATTAGATTTCACCTTCAAAACGGCCTCCAAATTACTAGATATGTCAACTGAGGTACAAGTAGACATAGATGATTAAGATGGTTGTACTTAAGTTTACTTACGATCCGGAAAAAAAGTGAAATTTTCCGTTCAATTCTGGAGACCCCCTCTGCCTAGGTTGTCGTCGTTGTGCTCACGTTCAAAACTGCATGATAATGGCGTCTGACCTCGACCTCATGCAAATGTGGTGCGGTGCGCTTGCGCATAATGCACTGCATGCATACACGGCAGATTCCCCTGTGCCGCGCCGACGACTGTTTCCTGATGTACTCCTAGAACTATGAGGCTCCGCGTGAGCGGAGCCTCATAGATGTAGAAGCCCGCAAAATTGTCTGCAGCACAGAACACTAATAAAGTACAAAAACGTCCATCAAAATTGCAGACATTTCACACAGAACCGCTGCACAGTTTGCCCCTATACTCCGTACTTTACCTCTTGACATACTCACGTATCTGGGGCACAACTAACATAGGTGGATTCTGTCGGTTTTTAGGCCAAAATGATGAAAAATATGCCCTTTCCGCACTGAGCCAACCGAACACTTGAAACGTGCACGCATATGATCGAGCGATGATTTTCGGTTCGCTCGGAGCGCGCCGCGGGGGGTACGGTACAAGCGAAATGATAGTATGTGCATGCGTACAAGTGCATGTACCGTACCCCCGCGGCGCGCTCCGAGCAAACCGAAAATCATCGCTCGATCATATGCGTGCACATTTCAAGTGTTCGGTTGGCTCAGTGCGGAAAGGGCATATTTTTCATCATTTTGGCCTAAAAACCGACAGAATCCACCTATGTTAGTTGTGCCCCAGATACGTGAGTATGTCAAGAGGTAAAGTACGGAGTATAGGGGCAAACTGTGCAGCGGTTCTGTGTGAAATGTCTGCAATTTTGATGGACGTTTTTGTACTTTATTAGTGTTTTGTGCTGCAGACAATTTTGCGGGCTTCTACATCTATGAGGCTCCGCTCACGCGGAGCCTCATAGTTCTAGGAGTATTCCTGATGTAGAGCGCTGTGTAAGTTCGCGGTACGCCTGGGAGTCGCGCTGGCTAGCCAGGCGTACCGCGAACTTACACAGCGCTCTACATCAGGAAACAGTCGTCGGCGCGGCGCAGGGGAATCTGCCGTGTATGCATGCAGTGCATTATGCGCAAGCGCACCGCACCACATTTGCATGAGGTCGAGGTCAGACGCCATTATCATGCAGTTTTGAACGTGAGCACAACAACGACAACCTAGGCAGAGGGGGTCTCCAGAATTGAACGGAAAATTTCACTTTTTTTCCGGATCGTAAGTAAACTTAAGTACAACCATCTTAATCATCTATGTCTACTTGTACCTCAGGTGACATATCTAGTAATTTGGAGGCCGTTTTGAAGGTGAAATCTGATGTTTTTTGTTGGAAAATGTTGGTTTTTGGGACTGTCAGTGACTGTGTTGTCTAGGTCGAGGAATGGGCTTGGACCCTACTATCGCCAGACCATGTCCAAATTTTTAAAAAGGCGATAAGTTGGGTCCAAGTTACTCGGACTACTAATTCGTCATGTGTGTTCGTGAAGAGTTTGAGATGCTGGAAAAAAATCGGTAATCCTTACCTTTAGGACCCCTTTCCTATATAAGTTTAAAAGACTCACCAAAACAGCTGACTAAATGACCCTCAAAAGTGACATTCTGATATTTCTTGGCACATTTGAACATTTGGCAATGACACCTCTTGAATATCAGCAGGTTTGATTTTGTAGAAAGAGGGCAGGGTTTTGATTGATGAGGGGTTAAAGACGACGATGACAAACAGAAAATAAATTTAAAAAGCAAGATGGCAACTGCATAAAAAGGTAGGAAAGTCGCATTTTCTTTGAAAATGCTTTCAAAATTATAACTAGCATGAGTTTGTCTGAAGAAAAAATACTTCTTTAGCCTGCAAAAGTCACTTTGGTACTGGACAGTCATCTGCAAAAGTCAGTTTTGAACAGAACTCGTACAAAATAGAGGTGTCCTAAAAGTAAGGATTACCACATGTTCTGTCATGGCCCATAGACTTTGTGCAGGAACTCTGAGTGGTGGCCCAGTATGGAATTTTTTCTGACCACCCCAACTAGTTGGCAACATTGAGAACATACATTGTATATAGGGGTACTTCTGAAATCAGAAGGCTTCTCTCCGTCTGAGAAGCCTTCTGATTTCAGAAGTAATATAGGGGTAGTCCTTATTTTTAGGACGCTTCTATTTTTTACGAGTTCTGTTCAAAACTGACTTTTGCAGATGACTGTCCATTACCAAAGTGACTTTTGCAGGCTAAAGCAGCATTTTTCCCTCCGATAAACTCATGTTTGTTGCAATTTTGAAACACTTTCAAAGAAAATGTGACTTTCCTACCGTTTTTTTGCAGTCGGACGTGAGTACTCCTAGACACTAATTAAGTACAAAAACGTCCATCAAAATGCAGACATTTCCCACAGAACCGCTGCACAGTTTGCCCCTAAACTCCGTACTATACCTCATGACATACTCACGTAATATGCGCAGAACAAACATCGCTGGATTTGTCGTTTTTTTTGGCTAAAATGATGAAAAATATGCCCTTTCTGCACTGAGCCAACCTGACACTTGAAACGTGCACGCAAAAGCCTATGATCCAGCGATGATTTTCGGTTGCAAAAGAAATGATAGTATGCGCATGCGTACAAGTGCAAGTACCGTACCCCCCGCGGCGCGCTCTGAAAAATCATCGCTGGATCATATACGTGCACGTTTCAAGTGTCAGGTTGGATCAGTGCGGAAAGGGCATATTTTTCATCATTTTAGCCAAAAAACCGACAAAATCCAGCGATGTTTGTTCTGCGTATATTACGTGAGTATGTCATGAGGTATAGTATGGAGTTTAGGGGCAAACTGTGCAGTGGTTCTGTGGGAAATGTCTGCATTTGATGGACGTTTTTGTACTTAATTAGTGTTTTGTGCTGCAAACAATTTTGCGGGGTTCTTCATCTACGTGGAGCCTACGTGGAGCCTACGTGGAGCCTCATAGTTCTAGGAGTAAAACGTGAGATGTGCCCATTGTATTTCTCACAACACGAGTGATAGCCCAACACAATGAAAGCCCAATGCTGATTGGCTGCTAAAAAAAAATAAGTAAAATTTTTTTTTATCAGCCAATCAGCAGTGAGCTTTTACATTGCATCTAGCTTTCACATTTGCCATCTTGGTTTTTGAGTCTGTTTTCTGGTTGTCGTCGTCTTTTAGTTCTACCCCTTAATTTCCCTCATAAATCAAAGCCCTGCCCTCTTTCCACAAAATTAAAGTTTTGATAATAAAGAAGGTGTCATTACCACCTGTTCAGATGTGTCAAGAAATATCAGAATGTCACTTTTTAGTGTCATTTAGTCGGATGTTTTGATGAGTCTTTCAAATATAGGAATGGGTCCTAAATGTAAGGATTCCCCATATAGGTATGTCATAGATAAAGGGCAGTGTTTTTAATATATGAAAAAAATTTGGGGGTAAAATGACGACGACGACAAAACGCAACACGAAAATAAAGATGGCGATCACCGCGCGATGGACCATGAGCACACAAGTCGCGCTGCACGACACCAACTGGCCTGTAAACGCGTAGGACAATCGTAATTTCTACCCCAAGAAACTTTTCAAAAATTGCCAAAAATGTGTCAAAACATTGAGATAAAAACAAAACAGGGGCCCTACACTACACGATTGCCCTAATTTTTCCCTTCAGTGACCTATCAGCCATCAGAAAGTGTTAATAGGCCTGTGTCCTAAAAAGTCAGATTTAGCAGGGAAATGTTGAAGTAGGCCTGTATTTGAAATTGAGAAAACACAGAAATTTTCAGACCAGTCTCATACGGTTTGTGCTCAGGGTGAAAAGCGATGGCCAGATACGGGAATCTGTCCAACCCCAGCTCCAATGCTCATCGGCAATTCAACATGATATGAGCTGGTGGTAGTCCAAGTAACTTATCGCTTTTTCAACATTCAGACATGGTCTGGCAAGAAGGTCACCAGACCATGTCCGAATGTTAAAAGGGCGATAAGTTGGGTCCAAGTTACTCGGACTAAAGCTTGAGGCACACATCTGGTTTTTGTCCAGCAACCAAAATATGGCAGAGGCTGTAAAAAATGGCCTCGGAAAAGCCATTGAAATCTGTTTTTTTTTCATATTTTAGTTTAAT